GAAATTTGTGTACAAAATTATCTGAACATTTCTATCATTATTATTATTCCTAATTTATGTTTCAGTAGTTCCTCAAATGTCTACCATATTCATGACATCTAAAGCCATGCCTTAAACTGTAACTTCCTATTTCTGGACGTCTAACTTCTCTTTGTGTAATTGTTTAACATCCTTTCTCTTGGCAAATATTTTCCACATGTATAGTACTAGTTTTTTTAATAGGGGTTTTTCGATATTAGTCCCTTAAATCTATAGTATTTAATATTAATTATTTAACCCAGCAAATTTCATTACTATGTTAATATTAAAATTTGATATTAGTCCCCCAAATCTCATTACTATGTTGATATTAGTCCTTCTGTCATATAATCCGTTCAAATTTGTTAACTATATTTAGGTTATTGGTTACCATAGATAGGTAATTACGGGTAATTACATAGATGCCCTCCCCTCCTAGTTAATTCCTGCCAAAAACATTACTGTTCTCCTCCTCAAACTCCCAATCTACATTTCACTATCGCTAATATCTTTCACTCGAAACCTCCCTAAAATTGACCTCCCTACCGCCTACCCACCGACGACTGATTCATGTACCTCAATGACACCACAATCACAGGCTCTCCCTCCCTAGTCTCTTACTCTCCTTTGCCACCACAAAGCTTGCCACCACACATTTCGATGGCAACAACAACGTGCCCTAGATCCGGCCATTGATTTTGTTACCGGTGAATGCGTTCCTCCTAGTCAGCGGTGACGCCAACCTCATCTTCGGAGAGTGGTTTTTGGGCTGCCGAGGAGGGGAGGGCTGGAGCAGCCAAGGAAGGGGATGGGAAAGAGGAATTTGACGAGGGGAAAGGGGGGGGTAGCTAGCCAAGGTGGAGGGGCTTGGCAGTGGTGTCCCGATCGAAGATGAAGATGTAAGTGGAGTATATAGGAATTGGAATGCAGGAGATAGAAGGGATGGCCAGAGGTCAGAGGTCACAGGAGCGATCCTAATCACTTGGAGGATTGGAGGGCAGTTGTTGCTGGTGGTGGAGCTCATGAGGCCAGAGGGGAGAGGAGAGGGGAGGAAATGGGTTTAGATTTTGTAATTGAATCGGGTTTTGAGGTTTTACTTGGGTATAAATTTAATGGATATCGGATTTGCATTTGTCACCAAAGTGTATAAAGGTCAGTTCACCCTGAAAGTTAATGTTAACAGAATATTCTGCTCCAAATCAAACAGCCCTTAAGCAGAGGGACTAATATCAACATAATAAGGAGATCTAGGGGACTAATATCTAATTTCAGTAATTTGGGGGACTAATATCAAAATACTATAGATTTAAGGGGCTGATATCAGAAAACCCCGTTTTCATGTAGAACCATATCTGTTAATACCAATCCTCCATCTTCGGCCAAAACAATGTTGTTTACGAGCGCATATCAGCTATACCCACATGTAAGCATTTATCCTTTTTGTCTCACTACTCGAAGTGGGACTAATCTCACACATTATACTATGGTAAAGGCGACAACCACCTGAATCAGGCTATTCTCCTCTTAGCTAACTTTCTTATATGTTCTCTACTCTCTAAGGAAAAGAAGCATCTTCATTTTTTCTTTTTACTCTTTTCGTCTTCAATCGATTACTGGCTATATTTCAGATAGCAACTTAACTGGGAATGGTCTGTGTTTTGGTCTGAGATTGCCATTTGAATGCTTTGGCTTATTCTTCTATGACAATGATTTTAGGTGCATGCTGTTGGTGCTGAAAATGATGGACCAAAGTGGTGGGAGAAGAATGCCGGGCCAAATATGATTGATGTTCATTCAACACAAGAGTTCATTGACGCTCTCAGCCAAGCAGGAGAAAAGCTTGTGATTGTTGAATTCTATGGAACTTGGTGTGGGTCTTGCCGCGCCCTGTTTCCAAAGGTGTATCTTCTTTTCTTCGTCATTTGCGATATATTATTTATATTTTCAGCTAGTATACCATGTTAAGAAATAAGTAGATTTGTTGGTGTTTTTTTTCTGACCAAGTGCGCTATGCGTGTTTATTATCAGTGGAGAAGCATTTCTGATATGGGAAGTTTTATATATATGGTAAAATCTTCCTACATTATAGTTTTTGGTCTTATGATCATGTTACCATTCATTGTCTGTTATGATCATCGTGGTAGTTTGGATAAAGCTGTGTGGAATCAGTAAGTTGGTATTTGCCATGAGGCCAATGAGTGTGGTAGTTACTGCAGTACTAGGGTCACTAGTTGATGGAGCAACAGAGACTAGTTGTGAGTAGAGCTTACTGAACCTGGTTGAGGCAATTAAAAAGAAATTTGCCTGTTAACTGGAAAGGTTATCTTTAAGAAAACTGAATGTAGAGCAGAGATTCCTGTAACCTATGTAGCACGGACACGGATCCGACACGGCCATCCGACACGCCGACACGAGGCAAATCCTAAAAAATACATAGGATACGTGTGTTCGACACGTGTGTCCGACACGGACACGACACGACACGGCTTCATGTTATGCGTGTCCGTGCTTCATAGCCTGTAACTAACCTTGAAGTTTTGGATAAAGTCCATATTTTATGGAGTTATTTACTCTGTAGAGATGGCGCTGGCTAACTTTTAATTAGAAGAGAAATTATACGCTGAGGTTCCCAGTTCTTTCCAATTTAGTTTTGTAAGAGGATATCTACCTGATGTTATTGCAGGAGTTTCTGCATATATTCGTGACATGTTCTCTAGAATAGTCTATTAAATATACAAATGTGCATGGACGCACAGGCATGACTTTCAACCTTGGATGTGCTGCTTGTATCACTTCTCACCAAATTTAGGAATAACTCAAATGCATCTTTATGGCTTTATTTATGCTGTTTCAGAAAGTACATATCTATTTGTTTTATGTGGTATATGAGCTAGCAAAAAAGATTAACAATGATGAAGCATGGAAGTTCTAGCAGTGAATTACTGAATGGCAAAACATTTATTAAGTCATTAAGCAGCAGTTGATTCGTTATCTAGGACTTTTAATTTATTCTTCTACGGAATACTTCTTATATTATCACATTTTAAAAAGCTATTTATTTGAATCCTTCATGTGATATTATTATTTTTATCCAAGGAGAAAATTTATTTGTTTATTGGGTAGCCAGAAATTGGCGCTTGGGGGCCACTTTCACTTTTTCTCTTATAAAATACTAAAACAATTATATTGATAATCACATTCGATAATATCAAGATTTTTTTTTGAGAGAATTGATAGGATCTCAAACTTGAAAGCCCTAAGCAAACATTTTATATGAAATGATTGTTTTAGAACATTTTTAAATAGTATTTATATGATATTTTTTTAAACATAATTTGCACAATTGTACTTGGTTTATTTTTATTTTTCAATTTTTAATCAAAACTTGACAATCAAATTAATATGCTTCCTTAAATTTATTCACTAAAAAATACATATGGTTTTGCAATATTAGTCCCTTAAATCTTTCATGTTTTTAAATTAGTGCCCAAATCTTTGAAATTGCTATTATACCCCTTAATTGTTAAGTTTTTTTTAATTTGTCTCTCAAATCATTGTTATTGCTATTAGGTCCTCAATTTCTTAAGTTATTTCAAAATTAGACCCTCCAATCAAGAGTTGAAGTAGCAGTTGGAGGGGTTAATTTGAAACAAGATATGAGAATTGGGGATCTGAACAATTTCAATGATTTAAGGGACTAAATTTGAAATAACTTAAGAATTGGGAAATCGAAAAGCAGTTTCAATGATTTGGGAGGACTAATTTCATAAGATGAAAGATTTACGAGACTAATATCGGAAAAAACTCAAATAAAGTTAAGTAAGAACGAAAACCTGATTCTTGGTTAATTTTTTATATTTAAAGAGAGAAATCAAAGATTTTGAGATTTGTCTTTTGAGAAACTATAATGGAATCAAAGATATATCTATCTTCTTGGTCAGTTAATTTGGTGGTAAGAGAGTTTAAGACCAAATATTGAATAGAAAAACAAATCTAGATGGTGTAGAGATAAATATCCCAATAGTAAAGTTAAACAAGTTGAGAATTTGACCTCGTTGTTAAATCATTGAATCAAAAGTTTTTGGGCCTCATATCCGCTGACTTATTTCTCAATCCTTAGAGATAATTCTAGTAAGGCCCAAGCTTGGCTACAATGAAGCCCATATACATTGGATATCTTTCAATAATAGTAATATAGACTAAGCTTATACAATCGAACACCCTATACATACATATGTGTGTGTGTGTAAATGTAGATGAATACTAAAATATTCAAATATGAGAACTGAAATCTCAAGGCTACCAATCAATCGACGAACATGCTCTATTTGCAAGATTCTGAGTTCCTTCCTGATTACAGGACTCTCACTCGCTTGCCTTCAATTATAAACCCACAGGTGAAGTTACTTTATATAGGACACCAGTGCACAAAAATAGAGCATAGAAAAACAAATCTAGATAGTGTAGAGATAAAGATCCCAATAGTGAAGTTCAAATAAATTGAGATTTTGACCTCGCTAAATCATTGAATCAAAAGTTTCTGGGCCTCATATCCGCTGACTTATTTCTCAATCCTTAGAGAGAGAATTCTAGTTTAAGGCTCAGCCTTGGCTATAATGAAGCCCATACACATTGGATATCTTTCAAAAATAGTAATATAGACTAAGCTTATACAATCAAACACCCTATACATACATATCTATGTGTGTGTGTATTGATGCCCAAGATTCTAAAACTAATACCCAACGTATTTAAGTCAAGGTGGTGAAGGGGGAGGGGTTCATGTGCTCCCCCAATCCTCCTGCCTCTGCCATTGGTATGTAACTCAGAAAAAAGTTAGGAGTGCGTCAAAAAAAAAAAAAAAAGATGTAGATGAATACTAAAATATTCAAATATGAGAACTGAAATCTCAAGGCTACCAATCAATCGACAAACATGCTCTATTTCCTGGATTCTGAGTTCTTTCCTGATTACAGGACTATATCACTTGCTTGCCTTCAATTATAAACCCACGGGTGAAGTGTTACTTTATATAGGACACTAGTCCACAGAAATAGAGCATAGAACAAACATCGTCGACAACAATATTATGAGAATCAATTTCACAATAAGGTCTCATCAAATGATACTGGCAAACATGTATTCATCATTCAAAAGGAAGTGTGTCTAATGACATCAATCAACAAGAATTCAGATATAGAATATCAACCAATAATATTTAAGATATGAATTTTCACACAACAAATAAGATTACAACATGAGGTTAAATATGGAAATTCCAAAGGTAGGTGACATTGAGTGGAACTTGAAGATAATGCCTTATTTTCTTGCATATAGTATTCTACCGAAAAGTTAAGTATTATAGACCAGAAAAATTCCTTAATTAGATACCGTGGATCTTCAGTTTAGAGGTGCCACTATTGGTGATCTAAATTCGGAAATGCACAACAAATCTACTCGCACAAACTCGATTGACATATGAAGGTGGTGATGTAAGTAAGGTGACACTGACTAGAACTTGAAGACAAAATATTTTTCTCTTCCAGCAATATTTGTTGTATATCCAAACTAATTATAGGTTATTGAAGGGTGAATAAGTAGAAAAGACCTTTTTGGTGCTCGTTAACGAGAGGAATAGCGAAAGCTTTCTTTGATAAATGTGCATGTCCAGGTTAAGTCCTTGGCATAATTTGCATGCTTAGGGATATCCCTTATTCAGATAGGCGTGTACATGATGGTGTTGTCGGTGAATGTTGATGACCGTCCTTTCCCCTACTTTCTAAGTTTCTTTTATTCATCTTACTGGTTTTTTCAGTGGGTGTTGTTATTCTTTTTCTTTTAATTGGTGTGTGCATTGGTTTTGGGGGGAATGTTCTGATTTTTATTTCTGTTTAGTGGTGTGTTTATTGGCTTTGGGAAGCGTGTGTGTAAGCATTCATGAGTGGCTCACTCATGATGTACATGCAATCATAACATGGTTGATGCATCTTTTTTTGCATGTTGTCTTTATTTAGAAACAGATTAAAATGTTGAAAATGGGAAGAAAATTACAAAAGATTAACTTTTACCAACCCTTCAAATTTTCAAGCAGATAGCAATATGAAAATCCCTGGCCACACACGGTTGGCATTCATTTTGACAAATTGATCTGGATCACCCCTTGGAAAATGTAAATGGCATCCAAGTATCCAAGTCTTAGAAGCATTTTACTGAGTAGAGCTTTCATAAGCTAACATAGTGGTTGTCTGTATTTGAATATTTATCAATTTTTATCTTCCTACTACCCTTCAATGCGTTTAATTAATGATCAGATTTACAAGTTTGTTCCCTTTACTGAATACAATTAATTTTAACATTTTTACGTAAACTTACCTACACTGCAATAGGTTAGTGTCTACATTAGTCATTAATTACTTTGATTAGTGATGTCATAATGTAGAACTTCATAGTGTGCATTACAAATTACTAGGAACCATAGCGTTCCATCAGTTTAGTTTAACCATAGCTGACATTATTAATAATATAATAATAAATGAAGCTTTAGCCCTTCCTCAAGGCTGAAATTTTCTCCAAATGAATTTTTGTCAGACACATCTGTATCAACTATCAAGTTTGAATGTACTAACAGTCTTAAGTTCCTTAGGTTCGTAGGACCTGGTCTACGTCAAAAGTTTTGCAGCCTTCCAGCTGTCTATATCATAGTAAAAAAAAAATCCTAGACATGATTAGGTTGTGGTTCTATCGTGCATAATCTACATTGGAAATAGCGTTGAGAATTACCTTTTTTCTGGATATTTTTTCTAGATTCAATGGAAACTATAAATGTTACTGTGAATATCAAAAAATTGATTGTATAAAACTTATTGGTTAAAATTGAAAAAAGAGATTACGCCTTTAAATTTATCTGTTCGATAATCTCATTTCTGTCTTTTATTACCTTTTCTTGAAAGGGGATCACCCTTCAGATCAATAGCATTTGGCATTTACGTGCCATCCTTAACTGCCCACATACAGATGAAGATGCTTAATTTGCTGAATAGCTATTATTTTTGTTGTCTACTATATTGTATCCATGTGAAATGTCTCCAAGTTGGGCAAATCTGATATTTTCTCTTTTCACTTTAGGCCCATTGATGTGTAGTCATGAATAATCTCTCAGAATTATACTTTGTTTGAGATACAGCATTGACTCATTCTAATATGTATTGTTATTTAATCTGTAACTCATAATTTTTTTCCCTCAAATTGATTTTCAGCTATGTAGAACGGCTCAAGAAAATCCTGATATTATATTTTTGAAAGTTAATTTTGACGAAAACAAGCCAATGTGTAAAAGATTGAACGTTAGGGTGCTTCCCTTTTTCCATTTTTATCGTGGTGCTGATGGGCAGTTGGATGCTTTTTCATGTTCGCTGGCAAAGGTAAGCAAATCTCTGTGATAATTTGCACATATTACTACAATATAGCAAGCTGTTACTATTATAGCTGGAATCCTTGATAAACAAAATGAAATACTGCAATTTCAATACATTCTAATAGTCTTCTGCACATTACTTCTGTCTGCTCAACTATATTGTTTTCTTGTGTTATCAATGATTGAACTTATAGTCTTATTGTAATACCCCAAAGCCACTTTAGTCCCACATCTACCACTCAGCTAAGTGGTAGCTTAAATAGGGACTCAAGTTGCAACATTGACTGGTCAATTTTAGTGGTGGATCGAGTCAAACCATGTGTTGCACTCAGTGGATCCCACAAATTGCATAGCACTAAAGGACTTGGGGGTCATGAGCGTGACAAACGATATTGGAGCAGTTAGATAGCTGGAAGCGTTGAACTGAGTACTATGAGGGACTAAGTGCTATATTGCATGAGTACGGTGTGAGCCACCTCTAGGACTTGTTGGAGCCAACTTTGGAATCCACATCATCTGCTGACGATACCGAGAGACCAATTGTCATCCCCCGATGAGGACGTTGCCGTATACAAGATGCAATGATTGTAATACCCCAAATCCACTTTAGCCCCACTTTGGCCACTTAGCCAAGTGGTAGTGGGTTTAAATAGAAGTAAAACGGACTCAAGTTGCAACATTAACTAGTCAATTTTGGGGGTGGATTGAGCCAAACCACGTGTTGTATTAAGCGAGTCCTGCAAATTACACTACGCCTATGATATCCAAATGCACTAACAACATGAATCTTGGTTTTCAATTATAAAGTTCAGCTGTCATCTAGTAGTGTTCCTTCATAAGTTATTGTCAGGTGTCTACCTTGTGAGTTTGTGTTAGCAAATGCATTATGTTAGGTTCTTCCGTTTCTGTTATTGTCAAAGATCTCTTCCACTAAGGTATGATGAATGTGATATACCGAAAACTTTCAAGTGACCTTTTGTTTCTCTACTGTAGTACGGAAGTATCACCCATTAGGTTCTTGTAATTCTCAAGATCTCTTGGCCCTCTTCCATCAGATGGCTTGGATGTCATATGCCAAGAAACTTTCATGTATCCTTCACTTGTTTAGTTATTTTACTACAAAAGTATCCCCTGTTTTTGTGCTACCTGTCGAGGCAAAGTTAATCCCTTTTTTTAAGTAATATCGTGATGCCTTTTCTCACCTTGAACTCTTTGTTTTTTTACTTGAACGCTTGCTAGCTACTTCCCTAGGTGTGCCTAGAGAAACTAGGTTCTTAAAATCTAGGACGCGTGTCGTTCATCCATGTCCACGACATTACCTTGAATATCTTTACTTGATGTTACTGATGCCAATGGTCTTGCACCCGTATTATTTCTCATTAGGACTATAGCTTATTAGGACTATTGATCCAATGTAATGTCATACATGTTGAATAAACTTTTGTCTGGATACGTACGTATATATATACAATTGTGTTTGTGTCTATATACATACATACATACATACACATACATGCATACAAATACACCCATGCACGCGTGCACACATGCACACATGCACACATATAGAGTATAGCTTTTATAAACTTAAGTTGATAGAAGCACATTCTCCATCAACTTTTTTTATCCATTGATTTTGCTTTGAGATTCGCGCAACACATCAAAGCTATTTTTTATATGTGTACCTTAACGTGTATCACATGCTAGCATGAATCTAAAAGCAAAATCAAGGGATATAAAGGTTGGTGGACAAGTGCTCCTATCAGTTTAAATTTACAAGAATTTTACTCTCTCTCTCTCTCTCGTGTGTGTGTGTGTGTGTGTGTGTGTGTGTGTGTGTGTGTGTGTGTGTGTGTGTGTATATATATATATATATATATATATGAGAAGGATGTGTATGTTTGGTACCAAACACAAACTTGGTGTTTAGTAGTGAGACCGCTCATTCTCATCCACTTATTCACATAGTCCCCACTTAAAAATAATCACCCTTTAATTATCCAACCCATGTGAATGTGGTCTTCCTTTTAGGTGACTGGACTAAAATGAGCCACCTCTCTACCAAGTACCAAATTTAACTGCTGAATGCAAGCCACATACACAGTAAACCAACTAAAAATGTAACAAAGGGAAAAGCCTAGACAGAATGCATAACATTAATAATAAAAATAAACAAAATCTGACGATCTCACTTTCATACTCCCTTTAAAAGTACGAGTTCGGAAAAATCTTTTCATGGTCATTATTACCCTCAACTTTTTAAAATATTATATTATTATCCTAATCTATTCTAATTATCTTATCTTCTTTGAATTAGTAACTAAATGATTTATCATATTTAAAATGAGACTTAACATGTTATTGGATAAAGAAAATACGTTTGATATAATTCAAATCATTTACTTATTTCAGTTCATAGAGAAATCTAAAAAAAATATGCTATCTAGCACCTAAAATTTTTTGGACTTTGTAAAAAAAAATCTTCGAAGTTTTTTAAATTACAAAAACACCCCTACAAATTTAAAATTTTATTAAAACATCTTGAAAAATTATAAATTTTACTTATTTCAATTCAGTGAGAAATCTAAAAAATATATGCTAGCTAGAAACTAAAAGTTTTTTGATTTTGGAGAAAATATCTTGTAAGTTTTAAAAATTACAAAAATACCCCTAAAATTCAAAATTTATTAAAAAACATCTTCAAAATTTCAAACTTAGCACACTAAAAACCTTCAAATAACACAAACAACCCCCAAAAATTTATGAAATTTACAATAAACACTGAACTTTTTACAAATTACAAAATAAAACCCACAGAATTGTAAATTTATAAAAATCTAATAATTTCTAAGCTAATAGTACATTGAAAATATAGGAATTATAAATATCCCCTACATAATTTATAATTTAAAGAAAACACCCTGAGAATTTTAAACTTATTAGTAAATTGAAAGCATAGGAATTATAAATAATCTATAAATAATTTACAATCTGTAGAAAAGGCTTAAAAGTTTAAAAAATTACAAAAAGCCCCTAAAATTCATAATTTATAAAAAAACTTTGAGAATTTCTAACCTATGGACACAAAAATGAATATACGAAATTACTAACAACCCCTAGAAAACTAAAATTTGACTAAAAATATCATACTCACTTTAAAAGTATGGATTTAGGAAAAACCTTTCATGGTCAAAATTATCCATAACTTTTTTTAAAAAGAACATAAATGATTGAAAATCTATTAAATTTTAAATTTACAAAAAAAAACACCCTTAAAGTTTAGCACATTGTGAATTACCTTTCCAAAGTTTAAAAATTTTCAATGTTTTTTTGTAATTTCTTTATTTCAATGTAATGTTTAATAGTTTTGTGTATTTGTAAATTACAAATTTTTAGGGTGTTTTTTATATTTTTTTAATTTTTTAGGGTGTTTCTTTTGTAGTTTTCTAAATTTTTATTGTGTTTTCAGTGTAATGCATAAATAAGTCAATTAATTATGATATTAAAGAGTAAGTTATTTTTAAGATTATTAGGCTATAGTTAAGTGTACAACACATCACTGTTCCTAGATAGTGTAATTTATATATGCAAAAATTGTATATAAGATCCTTTACGAATTGAATGGTCACCCATCTTTTGAAAACTTCATGATACTAATAAATAGAGATATTGTACTAGATTAATGTGTTTATAACTCACAAATAGTAGACCAGTCTAGATTGAAAGAAACAATAACGATAAGATTATTAGACCATAGTTAAGTGCGCACATCACTATTCCTAGCCAATATAGTTTATATATGTAATTTTTTTTAGATAATCTATATAGTGGTTAAAAAGTTTTTGATTTAATGTACTATTTTTTTATAAATTATATTTAATGTGATCCACCATATAATTTTGATAGTGGTCATCATAAATTTAATATGTTTGATTGATTGACTATAAACGTATATAGATCATAGATTACTTTACTTTCTCACATGAGCTAATATTTAATGTTTAATAATTTAAATTATTATTTTTAAACTTAATATAAAGAGGAGCTTTAATAACATTTATTTATTTACCTACAACATAATACAATCTCAATTTTTATTTTTGCTGGAGATTTATTTCATAGCTAAGCGTATCAAATTAGTAACTAAAATAATAATTAATTATGCTGAAATTAGGATGATTATAGTTGGTCACTCACTATGAAGTTTTTATAAAGATATATACATTATTTTTTATACCTATCTGCATTGCCAATGTATAATATACAAATTACTTCTTAATTTGACACATTAAATTACTTTTTCTTTGTAGAAATTTCTTCTTTGACTTTTAGACTCTGTAATCACTATATCACCATTTTAGCGTAGAAAAGACCACACTCTAATTGGCTTTAAGTCAATGTTTGAGTTGAACTGAAGTACATATTATTGCTACTATGTATATATATTTTTTAAGAAATATATATATCAATACTTTTTAAGTAGAAAAGAATATTTTAACCTCTAATATTATAAAAACTAAATATAGCCAATTGTGTGATTAACAAAAGAGAACTTACATAAGAAAAATATGAATAATAAGATAAAAAAAGGAAGGTAATGATATTGCCAACAATACTACAAATAGTAAACTATAATGTAATGTTAACATATTTTTTGGAGCACAACTACTGACTATAAGCATAGAGGTTTCTATATATATATTTTATAGTTTATTTAAAAATATCATATATAGTAATATCGTTGTAATAATATTGTTATTAGGAAAAAATTCTTCATAAATCAATATGTTTGTTACGATATATAAGCTATGCACTCGAAATTCTTGTGTCTTTTATAGAGTCAAAAAGTTTGAATACAAACCTCTAACATGTTGCTCTCACAACAACAAAATTCACTTAACAGATGTGGATATTTCATATAAGTTATGTATCCTATATACAATACAATTCCCCTATGCAAGTGAGTTATAATTGTATTTTTTATTCACATCGTTTAGGGTAAGATTT